ATTGAATTATCACACTGTACCCCATAAATATGTAGTATTAAAATAATAATAAAAATAAAATACAAAATATTCATGAAAAGAAAGGACTATAAAGAGCCATATGGATAGACTTCATTAAAGAGTCCCCAGTGTAAAAAACTAGTAACAATCCAATAAGAAACCAAGGAAGGCTATAAATATCTCATAAAAGAGGAAATCCAAAAAGCCTTAAAACATGAAAATATGCTCTCTATCATTTGCAATCAGGAAAATGTCACTGAAACAAGAAGATACCATTTCATTCCCACCAGATTAACTAAAATTTAAAAAATCAGCCAAGCAGAATTATTAGCAACATGTGGAGCAATAAGAACTTGCATTCATGAGATCCATATGTGAGATCCATGTATTTTTGTAGATGAAAAACCGTGAAGAAAATTATCACAAAATATTCTTAATGGTTAGATTCCCAGGACACAAACTGATATTTATGCAGGCCACTCTTAAGTTCTACTTGTGGAAACTGTGGCACACAGGTGTGGAAACTGTTATCAAGTGTCTTCAGACTCTTCTAGGAAGGCACAAGATTTACCAAAGTCCCTGGTCCACTGGATCCTAGATTATACATTTGGGGTGCAGAATGCTTTCCTGTCCCTACTGCAAAGATGAAATAAAAGACACGCTGGGGAAGAAAGTGAAACAGCCAGCAAAAAGTATTTTTCTTCATTTATTAACATGCATGCTAACGGTTGACAAGAAAGTGTTCATTTGAAAGACAAACCCCAGTAGGTAAGAGTTCCAAGAATACCAGCAGAGTTTTATGTAATGAAACCAGATGTACGGAGAAAACTACCTAGAAGAAACAAGGCCCTTGATAATGTATTTAATGAATATCTATATTGAGAACACGGTTTTGGGCACTGTAAAGCAAAGCAAATCAAATGTCTCATTTCCAGAGAAAGTGATTTATGTTGTTAGTGAAGTGATGGCTCAGGTCTTTTTTCTGTTTTCCATGTCTGTTACTAAATAATTTTTCACAAAACAAAAGAACCTGCATCAGGGGCTGGGGTGTAGCTCACCCAGCACGGGCCGGGCCCTGGGTTCCATCCTCAGTACCACAGAAAACAAAGCAAACACAAACCGACCACTCATCCACTCCCACTGAGGCTGTAAGTCAACGTAACCACTTGTAAACTCATTCGTCATTACCATGTAGAGGGGCCCATCTTCCTCCCCACCCTGCCCTCCAGAACTTTCACCTAGAAATGCCCTTGCTCATATCCAACAGGGGAATTGGAGAAAGAGGTTCCAAGGAGCACTTCTCACTACAGTGGAAATTGGCACTTACGCTAGCCTCACTGTGGGTACCTCCGCACCAGTCCTGCCGTCGGCTCCCCATTCAAGTGGTGGAGCCCTCTGCAGCCCTGTGAGGTCTCCTAATGCCACCTGCAGGGCAGGTGGATTTGTAAAAACCACAGCTTCATCTACTTCAGGGCATAGGAGCTATATACTCCACTGAGTGCCCCACAGGTCCGATACTGCAGAGGGCAGAGTAGTTAGTCACCTTAGTGTACTTCTGAATAAAGAGACAGAATGAAATCGGTAGAGAAAATCTTTGCCCTTCCTCCTACACACTCTTCCTCAAGTTGTGGCTTTACACAGTTTAACCGGAAGAGGTCTCAAGTGACTGAACCACTAGCTGTGTGTTCCTGTGAACCCACATACAGCTTGGTTAGCAAACACCTTATATTCCATTTTTCTCTTTCCCTGTCTCACTTTTCTTTTGCTCTCACACTCACTGTCATGAGATGGCACAGCTCGCTAAAACCTTGGTGTGGAAGCTCTCCTTCAGTCTTGGTGTTCCGGGAAGCATGAGGTAACAGACCTTGCCAGTGTCCAGCAACAGCAGAATGGAATAGGGAATCGTGTGGGATGGGACCCCCCCATGACAGTTTAGGGGTAAAATGAGTGTACTAGTTACATGCAACATCATGGACAGAGCTTCAAAAGAAGCATTATCAAAAACATGAGGGCACAAGAGATGGAGGGAGGGGAAGGAGGGCAGGGAAGGGGGATGGAGAAAAGAATGGAAAAAACGGATATAGAGCTTTTGCAGATGGAAGGGGTCTGAGAGTTGAAAGGGGCAGGGAGGGATGGGAGGAATAGGGGAGGGAAAAACAATTAGGATGTGTTATGTACATGTACCAACTTCACACGACAAATGGAAACATGACTAATAAAAATTTTTAAAAATTAAGTCACAGATGAACACATGCAATATTATCCTATTTAAACAAGGCAAAAAAATCCATGGAACACAAAATAATTTACCATTTAGAGATATTTATACATGTCCTAGAAATACAAAGAAAAGGCAAGGAATGGTTGAAACAAAATTCAGGCAATAGTGGGGAAGAAGGTCATAGGAATGAGGTTTCAAAGGCCCCGTTAATGATCTATTTATTAAGATCAATGTTACTTGTACTATTTAAATTGTAAATCTATGTTATATGTATTCTTCTGAGTTTACTCCTGTGACTGTGTGGCTGACTCAGAGCTGTGCCAGCCAGGGGTGTAAGAGTATCGCATCTAATGTCACCGGCTGGAGAAAAGAAGAAAATTCACAGTAGAGCAAGGGTGGAGCTTGGCAGCAGAGTGTCTGCCTAGCATGCACAAGGCTCTGAGTTCCATGCCCAGCACCAAAAATTTTGAAAATTTAAAGTATGGTGTTATGGCTTATACTCAGGTGTACCCTCAAAGCCTGATGCAGTCGTAGGTAGGGAGGCTCAAAGGTGGCTGGAGCAGGGTGTGTGAATGTGGATTAAGGGTGTGGACAATGGAAGCCCCACCCTGGGTGTGAGTAGCACCGCTTAATAGGCTTATAGCCTGGATGGGATATAAAGGGGCAGAAATAAGGCAGGATGCTGCTGTTGCTTGCTGCTTGCTGATACTAACTTCTGCCTGCCTCACCATGAACTTTTTCTCCTCTGCAATGCCCCTCTGTCATGCCAACCTGCCTTGGAGCCAGCTGACTATGGACTGAAACCTCTACAGACTATGAGCTAACTAAACCTTCCCACATTTAACTTTGGGTGTTGGGTATTTTGTCCCAGCAAAAAGAAAAATAACTAAAACATATGGTTTCTACTGAAGGTGTCAGCACTTTTGCCCCATCACAAAGTGGAAAACTCATCAAGCATAACTATTGTTAAGTTGGGCATAGCCTATTCAGAGCACAAGAAACAAAAGGCATGCTGCTCTTCCCCTCTCCCCACACTCTGTTTTCATGCTTTGAGAAGGGCCAAACCTGTGCTCTAACTGACAAGTGAAGACAGGCATCCCACTCCTGCCCCTCTCCCTGAATTCCGTGAGCTTTCTCTCTGCTTGAGTCAGCTGTGATTAGCAGCCCAAACTAGTGTGTTCAACACTAGGAAAGAACAGGCTCTTCCAGGGAAGCTACTAAAGCCCAAGGGAGGACAAAAGTGGAGAGAGGGAGTTACCCAAGACATTCTGATTTTTCCCAATGTAATCATATATTCTGTGCTTGTGACCAGCTTCTAAAATATTTTAAACAAGCATCAAGTTTTATAAGGTTAGTAACAGGATTTCATGTGGCACATTCTGAGGCCTCTCTGTAGCAAACATTTGTGTACGATCCCTAAAAGCAAAATCTTCTTAACAAAAGAGAGGTAAGGGCTGGGGCTGGAGCTCAACTGCAGACTGCCTGGCTAGCAAGCACAAGACTCTGAGTTCCATCCCCAGCACCAAAGACAAATTAAATTAAATCAAGTTAAATTAAAGTGAGGGAGCCTGTTGCTAGAAAGGCAAAAGGATGCCCCATGCTCACCAGCACACTGGTGTAAAATGAAGTGCAATAAAACACGATTCAATTTAGGGCTTTCTGACTTGATGAAGGTGCAAAAGGGATATGCATTAAAGAGAAGCTGTTTCACTCTCAGCACTGTATTTGATAAATTGCATGCGGTATTCAGCACTTTATTATAAAGTAGCCTTTGGGTTAGGTGATTCTGCAGGCCGATTTGCTAATGGAAGTGTTCTGAATACATTTAACGTCGGCTAGGCCAAGCTGTGATGTTTGGTAGGGGAAGTGATTTAAATGAATTTTATACTTAAGATATTTTCAATTTAATGGTGGCTTTATTGAAAAGTAACCCCACCATAAGCTGTGGAGGAGCATCTTTGTTCAAAACATGACTTCACTCTCCCACAGTCGGTGGAATTCTGCTTCTAGTCTTGGGTAGATATGAAAAGGTTCCGCTACACAACACCTGTCTCAGGCTCTATTATGAGAGTGATGATCACAGTGCCAGGCGGCCAGCCAGAACCATCGGGGGGCCCTGAACGTATCCCTTCTGCACTAAAAATTCTACAGTATCTGCTGGATCTTCTTGTCACTACAACTCAGTGAACTACACATACTTTTTACCCAGTTTAAAGATAAAGAAATCACACTCAGTGAAGAGAAATCACTCAAAACCCACAGGGAGTAAGTGCAAAAGGTAACAAAATACACATCCCTGTGTGACTCAAAGGACTAGGGTCTGTCAGGTCACAGTTTATGGCCTTTGACCTTAGAAAAACTCACCAGTTTTCTTGGAGGTAAGAGCCATCAACATTTCGTGTCCTTAGGAAGACAGTCTTTATTCTTTAGACTCTAACAATCCACGCTAGCTGAGTGCTAAATATTCACTCAATCACCCACTAACCTCTACCAGGGCTTGTTCACATTTGTTATCACTTAAAGTCAGTGGTTCTCAAAACTCAACTGGTGTAAACAGCATCTGGGGAGCCCGTGAGAAATGCATACTCCAGACCCTGACAGGTAGGAGATTACGACTCAAAGGGCTAAAGTTTACGCCTAAGAATCTGCATCTTTACCAAGCTCCTTACATGACTTGGATGGATATTGTCTCTGAGCCACACGCTAAAGAATGCTATTCTTTATCTTATATTGTATGTATTCTACATAGGAAGTAATCAAAGAACAAAAGCCCCCTTACCTGTAGCATCATTCGGTTCATGTCTTCTAGGTTATGAAATGATGGAACCCAATTTTGTTCATTAGAAGAGTCCGGTGACCTGAGATTTTCTTAAAAAGGGAAGAAAGGATAGAAAAGTATTACATTAAAATTACTAGCTAAGGGTATGAGATTTTTTTAACAGTTATAATTAATGATATAGAAAAGACTCACAAGACAGTGCTGAGTACTAATGAAAGATCTAATGTCAACTAATTCTCCTTATAAATGATCACAAGCACAGACATGTTGGAAACTGAAATAGACCTCGAAGATCATTCAACTAGATTTCTAGTGTACATTACGACTTATCCAGTAACTATGATTTTTCAGCTTCCCTTCTCTTGGATCTCACCCAAACCCAGTATCCTTAATATCCCAGATGAGGTCAAGAACTCTACACGGACCCAGACCCCACCCTCTAGCCAGAACACACAATTCCACTCTTTAGCTGCATTTAAGCCTGGAGGAAGAGCCCTTAAGTACAGCATCTTCAGGCCTTACCTTGTGTCCCTGAGAAGCTGCCAGCTGCCTCTCCTTCTCTCTACCCCATTCTGCAAGGCTTCCTGGCCCTCCCAACCACACCTACTCCACTAACTTCAGCAGTGGAGGGGCTTCAGTCTCAGGTGGCTTAGCATTTATGTCAATGAACAGTAGTTCTCTCTCCTCACTGAGAAAGGAGGGACTCACATCATTTAACTTTGAGCCCCATTACAAAGGCAGACTGTCCTGACAAGGGCCATCTGGAGGGTGCCTACTGCTTTCTTGTGGAGCTAGAGTCTCAGATCTACTCCTCCGGGTACACTTGGCAAGAAGGAGGTCATGCCTGGGTAGAAGAGCCCAGAACCTCACTGCAGATGGACAGGAAGAGGGCATGTAAGCTGCTGGGCAGCAGAATGAGAAGAAAAGGAAACTGTGCTAATGTTGTGCCTGCCTCCGGTTTAGTGCTCCTAAACACTGACACAGCCTGGGCATGGGGCACACAAACCATGCAAGTCTCCCACAGTCATTGTCGGAAGCCAGCATCAGATCCAAGAGACACTCTTCATCATACCCTCGCTGGGCAGCGTGATGCTGAGGTCACAGGAGGACTGTGTGTGTCATTAAAAGAACAAATATTTATAGAGCTCTCCTTCCTATGTGTCAGAGTTGGACAGGTGCAAGATACAGCAGGAATAAGGCACAGTGAGCGCCCTTCTGGGCCTTACACACTGGTTGGGCAGGACAGTCAGATGGTGGACATACAGACAGCGAACAGGCCATTTCAGGTATCTGCATGTATGAGAACTGAAACTGTGTCATCCGGGGAAGGCTGGCTGAGACAGAAATGTCACAAAAGGATCTGAATGACAGGAAGGCAGCCACGTGATGACACAGGATCAAAGCACCTCAAGCAGGGGCATCAATAAGTGCTGAGTGAATCAGGAAAGGATTCTGCCTACTATAAAGAAAAGAGGTCAGAGTGGATGATGTGGAAAGAGCAGAGGGTGGTGCAGTAGTGAAGACAGCAGCAGAAAGGGTCTTATCACGTAAGGTATATGGCAAGGAACTGACTTTTAATTCTGAGTGAAACATGAAGTACTTTTAAGCAGGAGAGTAGCATGGCGAATTTTTAACACATCACTCCAGCTGCTTGTGGAAAAAAAAATAAATAATGCAGGGAGCAAGAGTGGAGATGCAGAAAGTGTAGCTAGGAACTTCCTTCAAAGGTGAGAGATGTGGACACGGGAACCCTTGGTGATGATACAGAATTTCAGGTAGACAGGAACAAGGTCTGATCTATGGAGTGTAGCTGTAACAAAGGCCAACAGTAGCACTTAGGCCTGAACACTGCTGGAATAGATTAAGTGTTCTCACCGGGAAAACTGTAAGATATACGGTCATGCTAATGAACCAGAGTCAGCAGATGCCCAAACGGCGTGTCACATGCACACAAATGTGCTTTTTATTGGTCAGTTAAAAAGAGAGAAAACTTAAAAGATGACACAGCCTGGATGAGAGTGATAACACCAGGGCTATGCAAGTAGTGAGAAGAGAAGGAGATGTGGTTTAAAGGAGGAGCCAAAAGTATTCAGTGATAGCTTGGAGGAGGACATGAAAGAAGCCTAGGGTTATCGTGAGTTCAAGGCCAGCCTGGACTACATGGAGAGACCCAAAACAAACAAACAAACAAAATAAATTATTCCAGATGAATAAAAATGAAGGAAGCTTGTTTAATAAAAGAGTTCCTCCATGACCTTGATAGCTTCTGCATTAAATATGCAAGTAGAGAAGTTGCAAAGGAAACTCTCCCGCTGACTCTATGACAAGTATGATTCTCAGATACAGAGCTGGAGGAAGAGACTAGGCTGGACACAGGATTACCAAGTAGGGGTCAGCTATGTCCGGACAGCACATCACAGCAAGGGACTGATGAAGACTACTTGGGAAGTGAGAACAGGTAGAAAAGAGAAAAATATTCAAGGGCTCAGCCCTGGCACATGCCAATGCTTACAAGTTGAAATGTGAGAAGAGGTGGAATGAAAAAGACAGCAAAGCAGCAGCCAATGGACTGGGAGAGAAAGCCAGGGAGTGTGTGATCCTGGAAGCTGAGAGAAAGCTGTTTCAAGAAGCAGGGAGTGCACTCTGGGAGGCCGAGGTGGGAAGATGGCAAGTTTGAGCCCAATCTGGGCAACTTAGCATCTCAATGAGATCCTGTTTCAAAATACAAAGTATCAAAAGGGCTTGGGATGTAGCTCAGTGTGAACATCTGAAGATTGAAGGCTCAATCCCCGGGGCTGTCTAATGTATCTGAAATATCGAGTAAGATGAGGGCAGTGAGGTGAAAAAAGTCGGCAATGTGGAGACCACCTGACAAAGTAGGTGGAGTGGGGTGGGGAACAGTGGGTAGTCTGCCCTGAGTGCTGCACAGGTTGGGGAAAGAACGGATGGGGTGTGAGGAGACAAGGCCTATAAAATAATTCCAGGAAGTTTTGTTGTGAACAGGGGCTCAGAAATACAGCAATAGCTGGAGGTGTCCTGGGGCCAAGAAAACGCAGCTTTTAAAATCAGAGATTAGCTCGTATGTGTGGATGGCCCTGCCACACGCCTGCATTTAGAGCTCCACTGCCTGGAGGATTACAGGTGGTACTTTGCAGGCTCAGGGCCGTACCTCCCTGATTAACTCTTACTGTATGCCTGTAGGTGTCCAAGTCACAAAACTCGGCACTACTATTTCCCACATATGCTTCTGCTCATTTCCATTTCTATGCTCCACTTCTGCACAAACCTTAGGGCTACCTGACACACTGAACATAAACAGGAATAGAGAGGAACAAAATAGCTGTGAAACTAAAAGGTTCTGTAAGTTGAAGTGATCTCGTAGTCCTGGGTGCCTTCCCAAGGCCTGAGGAGAAGGGAGGGACCTATTTGCCCCCCCCCCAACAGCTCATTTTCAGTGTAGCCAATGAGAAAGCTGTAAGATAGCTAGGGTGCCCAAATCCAACCTTGCTTCAATGTTGCAGGGGAGATCTGGCTCCCGGTAGCAGGGAGAGTCTGGTTCCTGGCTCTTTGTTGAAGAGGAGCTCTGGCTCACTGCTGAAGGGGAGATCTGGATCGTTGAAGGAGAGATGTGGCTCACTGTTGAAGAGGAGATCTGCATGGCTGAAGGGGAAGTATGGCTTATAGTTGAAGGGGAGATCTGGTCTGTCAGTGGCTCACACCTGTCACCTTTCTTACGGTAGCCGTGAACCTGCATCAAGGTCTGAATCCGCTCAAACACCAAGTCACAGTGTTCCTTCATCAGATGTGCAAATTCATTAGACGGGTTTCTAATTGACAAAACAACGAAGATCAATAATGGCAAGGGTATGGCTAGGAATTCAGACAACAGAGCAATAGGAGGTGGGGAATAAGAAGAGAGAAAAACATGCTTGTATCAATATTCGAGCAAAGCCCAGCCCTTGATTCCAAGGCATAATAACACCTATTGCCAACAGGTGCAGTGGCGTAGGCCTACAATCCTAGCTGTCTGGTAGGCTGAGGCAAGAGGATTGTAAGTTTGAGACTGCCCCAGGCAACTTGATGAGACTCTGTCTCAAAATAAAATTGAAAAAACCTATTGCTATTAAAATAAGAAATGCAAGCCAATTTGACTGCCCCTAGGTGGTGAGTCCTTTACGGGAGGGGCCATACCTGTCCCCATGTCTTCCGGAGCAATCTTGGCACAGGGCCTAGCACAGTGGCCCGAGAATTACATAAATCCACTAAGTTCAAGTTAATTTGAATTTTAAGGTAGAGCCACCATAGACTCTCACCTGCTTTAACAAGAGAGTTCTGATTAGGAAAATTCTTTCCCAGTGACCCATAATTACCCAAGAGGCTCTCAAAGAAAAAGCTCCTTCTCAGAGAGACAGCTCAGCCAAAAAATGTCACTTGAGGGGTTTTGTTTTTACTTTCAGAAACTATTGGTCATACTGAAAATCTCGACAAAACTTTTTGCTCAGTGCACTTGAATTTATTTTAGAGGTCTGATCTGGCAAAATAAGTTAATTTATCTTTGCAAAGCCAAACAAATTTAAGCGCTAGGCAAGCCTAGCCTTTCTACACAGCTCGTATTCCCATGGGGCACCAAACAATCAATCACTCCCTTAGTGTCACTAGGTGTGAAGCGGGGACAGGGAGTGGGCAAAGGCTTGGACAAAAAGATTAGGCAGTTAGGGATTCATACCTTCTGTTTTCCCCTTTGTCTCCCTCCATTTTCCAGTGAGGTCACTGAAATCAGAGTAAAGCAGCATAATCACAATTTTTAATTTCATAACTCTTTCTAGTCAAAGAACGCCTACTTTTTGTCATTTTGCATTACTGTTTGCAATACATAGATAGCTACCCTTGCTGTGAGGGCTGGTACCCGCCTGTTAACATATCTTGGTCACATCAGGGTCCTCCCCCCACCCTGAACCTGATCCCCTTCCCCACATCCACAATCCTCGCTGCCGATTTCTTCTACAACATAGGATATCATTCAGTGCCCGTAACCCTTCATGTTATGTAGATATGGAAGTCTCATTTTACTG